CGTACGCTGGAAGCGCTACGCTACGCTACGCTGCCGCAAAATATAAACGCAGCCTCAAAATCCTACGAAGAAAAAAGCCTCCGTTCTCAGTGACTTGTAAATCGATTTCGGACGAGTTTCCCATAGGCATCCTGGCAATCACCGCTACCGAAGATACGGCTGCATATGTGTACCCTATATATGCATGCAGCATCATGGCCGCTTCATACCAATCCTTCGCTTGCGTGACTTTGCCTTCGGCAAATGAATGAATACGAGCGTCAAGGAACGGTCGTCCATTTGTGGGCGGATGGGCGTGGAGGGCGTTTGGGACGTAAAGTTGTGGCTTGATAGGGCCCTTATAAGGGCACCTTCCTCGGGAAACCGCTATGCAGCAGCGCTGGCCTGTGTCACGGAATTCTATCCTGCCAGGCACTCACTGATCCTTCTTGGCTCAGCACATGTTAAGTTCGTGTACAGACAAAGACGTGGTCGATGGAGGAGTGGATATGTAAGTTGCTTCGTAGATGTTGAGGTCATGGGTTCAATTCCTTGACAAGCTCCATCTTTTGTCATCTTCTGTAAGTCCAGAAAACACTTCTATCTGTTGTTTTGTCAAGCTTGCTCTTACTTGCAGCAGAAAAAGACCCTAATGCCAGCAATAGCGCTTCTCTTCCGAGACTCTTAGGCACTATTTACCCTTTACTGCCCCAATCATCCTAAATCAGGCCAAATACTGAACAACTCTTTTCTCCGTGGGCAGAATCGACTAAACAGTTGTCCTCTGGGGTAGTTTGACCTCCTGAACATGAGTATCACATCCGCTCGACACGAACCTCCTGGCGTCCGCGCCACAGGCGCCGGCGCCAAAATACCCTGAATCACCAAGTTTGCCCTAAATTTGTCAATTGAAGTGGTTTGACCCTTGATGACGAATGTCTCATCCGTTGATTCTGAAATCGCCTGACGCATACGTCACAAGCGATGCACCGCATGCTTGTTTCGACTCCGGCGCGTGTAGCACAGACTCCAGTCGCTTTGGTGCGGGGCTGTGTGCTAGGCAGTTGGGCAAAATGGCGAAGAAACGCAGCACTCTCCCTGGTTGCCTGTGATAGTGATCCTTCCCTTTACTAAGGCTCAGCCTCAGCAGAAAGACCCATCTCACCATCAGGAGAGGGATGCACGGCGCGCTGAAGCAGATGGCGTAGTCACGTGTACCTTTTTTACTCTATCCTAAAGATCCTCACTGCCCCATACAGATGTGATGTTCGTGTTTAGGAGGCCAAACTACCCAGTTGACAAGTTTAGCGATTTTGGTGATCACGAAAATTTCGTCGCCAGCGGTAGGCGGGCTAAGCCGATGGGACATTCGTGCTCAGGAGGTCAAACTACCCCGGGGACAACTGTTTAGTCAATTCTGCCCACGGAGAAAAGAGTTGTTCAGAATTTGGCCTGATTTCGGGTTATTGGGGCACTAAAGGGTGAATAATGCCTACTAGTCTTGGAAGAGAAGCACATTGGCCGACATGACTCTTTTCCTGTGAATGAGAGCAAGCTTAACAAAATGACAAGATATAAATACCTTTTGGACTCACAGAAGATGCTCCGAAAGATTACGGAAAAGGAATCAGACCCATGACCGAGCATCTATAGAGCAACTTACTCATCCTCTACACCATCGGCTGCTTGGAACTTCAGGTTCTCAAACTTAACTTGAGCTACGCAAAGGAGGATCGGCGAGTGCCATGCTAGAACCCCTTCTCCATCTCCCCTCAGTAATTCCAAAGAATCGTTCGGCAAATTCACGCGGCGGTATGCATCCCATTTTGAATGGCCATGGCGACCTGTTTGATCTTCCCTGGTCAGAAGGCAAATACCACCCCGCTCTCCCAGCAATAAGCAAATACGACCCCGCCCCCCTCCATGGCGCTCGTGACGCAAGAAGAACTAACTTTTAAAAAAAATTCTCCGGACTGATTACGGCTCTCCCCTTTCCCCCAGAGCGACCAAAGACGACTTCTTCATCGCGGAATCCCCAGCGATGATGTGCCCTGTTCAGAAAGTGTCGGACTGGGATCCTGAAGCGCTTTGACAGTATGCGCCTCGCCCCCCCCCCTCCACTTTTCTGAATAGACTTTTTTCTCATTCACGTGAACCGCTCCAGTAATTACTTCTGAGAAATGTATGAATCAAAAGGTCTCGCATCGAAAGGAGAAGAGTGGCTATATTGCTTGATCTCAGGATGAGCAGGCTTAGCTGGATTCATCTTTTGAGAGTGATTTGACAAGAAGGGATGCCATGAAATTCAAAGGAAACGTTTTCCAGAAGAATCGCGATTGGGCTAATCTCGATCGATCTTGGAAGCAGTTTTATGAATTGCTCACCAACCAGGATGCGGCACATAGGTATGTTCGCCTTTCTCATCATCCCAGATGTCGCTATAACTGAACTCTCAAATCCGAAAGCAGCTCTAGGAAAATGTAAAGATATCGTCTTGTTAAGGTACATACACTGGGGCGTTCCAGGGCGGCTAACTTTGGCTTGATGCCAGCCTGTCTTGGCCACTTCTATCTATCTGTGTCTGCAAGCTTCCATAAGTGGTGGAGAACAGGCCGGGCTCCCATCCCCCCTCCTCCCCGTCCCCGAATGGAGTGGCCCGCCCGTTCCCCCGACCTAAATCCCATCGAGCACGTGTGGGATGCACTGGGTAGACGCATTGCAGCACGACCAAATGCACCAATGACGATCCAGCAATTGTCAAATGCACTGATTGAGGAGTGGAATGCCCTGCCCCAGGAACTCATTACCAACCTCGTGGAGAGTATGGGATCGCGGTGCAGAGCATGTATTGCTGTCCGTGGTGATCACACACCCTATTAGGATCCGTGTAACTTCTTTTGTAGTACCAGGATAAATCGTGAAGACTTATGTGTAATCGACATGGTTGAATAAAAATGTCATAACAATTCGTCTTATTCCGAGTTTCTGTCAGTTGCTTTCTGTACAATATCGTTAAGGTTCTCTCTTGATATGATATGAATTTCATCGAGCTATGTTGTCTGGCAGAGGCACAGTGATCGAAAGTTGCTTTCGTCCCTAAGTTTTGCACACCAGTGTAGTAGGGTATCTACTAGGATGAATTAATTGAGGGTACTCTTAGACATTCCTGTCTATATAAAGCCCGATCATTTCTCGCCTTGTACCATACCAAGACTGGGTGGTTTCGATGTGTATAATTTTGCTCCGGTTTTTGATTAATGCGATTAGTAACGTGAAACAAGACTCCCTGCGACGGTTGCCGAAGCTGATACAAGCTCCCAGATCGAGTTCAAATGTTTATTAGCCTTGACAAGTCAAGTTAATTGACATTGGCGAGAGAAACTTGAAGCAGTCCCATTACAGATAAATTTTTCTTACACTTTTTGGTGCTTAATCCAAACCTGCACTTAGGGCGATAGAACTTGCAGCGTGTTGTTCTACGGGATTGAGGTAGATCACAATACCCGAAAAGCTATAAAGTCCATCAATCAAAGCGACGGCCAATTTGTAGAGCTACCACTTACCACAGGGTCAGGGTGATGATTTCCCACGAAGCGGCTGTCGAAGATTTGGAGAAATCAATAGGAAAAGCCAAAAAAAAGTAGAACAGCTTTAGAACTCTGAAACGGGCATTGCTTGCCTTGTTCTCTGCCAAAGAAAGACACCATTCTATTACCAATGGAAAGCTTACTTCTTCAGAGGGGAAGTTAGTAAAGGAGAACCGCATCCAGCCACAGAGAGTAGCTGAAACAGTTGATGCGATCGTGATCAATTACTGATTGGTGTAGCTCTTTGTGGTCTTGTCGCTGGTAGTGGGAGTAGGGGTGGGTATGTTGGACCCCGGTGGGATATTTACGGTAGAGACCGCTTGAAATACGTCATGGACCCGCGGATCATATCCTGAGCTGAGGTTATGCATCCAAAAAGGGAACCCACGAAAAACACCGAAAAATATTTGAGGCCGTTCGCTGAAAAGGCTCCACGCTTCCACTAAAGTGGATGGAAGTCTGTTGAAAAACAGTTGAAAAAGATGCCACACTCTTTCTCTCTAGGACGCAAAGATATATGACAATGGACATGCTGGATTCACGAGCTTAGCTAAGCTATTTTATTAGAATTGTAAAGAATATGAACAACGAGGCAATAACTTCAAACTGAGAAGGGACATATGGTACATCGATAAGCAAGTCAAAGTTATGATAAGTGTATGGTAGCGCTTCGTACAATGAACACGTTGTCTGATGAGAAACTCGATCACACATTCCGCGATAATCGGGTGGGCGGGGACGTTCAACCATTCCGCCTCCCTTATTACTACGTTCTTCCTCCTTACCGTGTTAGAAGGAGCGCTCCAATGCGATGGTTGTGAGTCTCCACCCTTCCGCGTGCCACCGAATGTGCCTTTAGGTCCTGAAATTTATTACAAATATTGTCTTATTGAGTATTAACACTATTGAATATATACCACCTAAAAAGGTTATTTCGAGCGCGTTTTTTACACTACACTTCTGAACAATCGACTGAACATCTCGTTGCTTTCATGCATTGACTCTGCGATCTTGAAGTTTAGTATTCCAAAAAGCCAGCATATTTGTCATCGCTTCAAAGTCTATAGGAGGTGCTGCATATTCGCCACATGTCTTCTTCCGAACCGGTTCATCACGCTCCCTGCAAAACGTTTTTTTTTCACTCTTTTGCCCCTTCACTACAAAGAAAATTTGGTCATAAAGGTTACAAGGGATGAGAACTCTTAACTGCTTTTTTACTTTCGGAGCTATTAGTCAAACCACTTGACACGAAACAACATCTGCGGCGAACATTACTGTATTTTCGTTTACTTCCACGAATTAGGATCACCCTTACATGGACGGAAATGGGGAAC